GTATGATATTTTAAAATGTTTACCTGGCCTCCTGTTCTCATTGTTTTAGGCTGTTGGTGTCACTTCAAAGGTGTATGATATTTTAAAATGTTTACCTGCCCACTCTTTTTTCTTTGCTGCTTTATGATGTATAAAGAAGGCTTGACCATTATTTGTAATGTCTACTTTTTCACCTTCTAAATCTCAGGAAAATTATTTTGTATTTTTTCTTGTTTTGGTGGAAGAACAGAGAATGGGAACTTGCCCAGCCTTCAGTTATAGGAGTGGTGAATCTCTCACAAAGAAAGTGACTTTCACAAGATCCATCCATTTTTTAAGACTCTGCAGGCTGTAAAATCAAAAGGAAATTAAAGAATTAGTTACCTTAAATTTGGTTAAGGAACTATGTACTTGTGTGTGTGTAAAGAAAGACCCTGATTAACAAGCAGAAGGAAGGCCTTGAAAATAATAAGGGGTTGTGTTCACATACAACACTGCAGTGACACAGCTGCACCACTACAGCACTTGAGTGAAGATGCTGCTGTGCTGATGAGAGAGGTTTTACCCTTGGTATAGTTAATTCACCTGCCAGAGAGTCAGTAGCTTTGCCAATGGGAGATGCTTGTGTGCCACTGCTTCGGCTATATTTACCTGTGCCTCAGCAGGTACCAGTGATCGCAGCTCCCAGCTGGCTGTGGATCCCTGTTACCAGCCAAAGGGAGTGGCAGAGTGGGACACTACTTCCCACAACTCCCATTGGCCAGGAGCTGGGATTCCCCAAAGTCAATATAGTGGTGGGGATCCACCAGAGGCTAACTATGGTGAACAGCATCCAGCCTAGGGGCCTGTATGAGACGTTAACTTTACTGTCTTCTCATTCGAGTTAAGATGCTAATCCTGCAATAAACTCAGGACTAAGGGGCTGTGTCTACATTGGCACCCTTTTCCGGAAAAGGGATGCTAATGAGACCAGTCGGAATTGCAAATGCCCCAGGGATTTAAATTTTCCCCGCGGCATTTGCATGAACATGGCTGCCGCTTTTTTCCGGCTCGGGGCTTTGCAGGAAAAAAGCGCCAGTCTAGACAGGGATCTTGCAGAAAATAAACCCTTCTCTGGAAGATCCCTTATTCCTACTTAAAATCAGGAATAAGGGATCTTCTGGAAAAGGGTTTATTTTCCGCAAGATCCCTATCTAGACTGGTGCTTTTTTCCGGCAAAGCCCCGAGCCGGAAAAAAGCGGCAGCCATGTTCATGCAAATGCCGCAGGGAAAATTTAAATCCCTGGGGCATTTGCAATTCCGACTGGTCTCATTAGCATCCCTTTTCCGGAAAAGGGTGCCAATGTAGACACAGCCCCTTAGTCCTGAGTTTATTGCAGGATTAGCATCTTAACTCGAATGAGAAGACAGTAAAGTTAACGTCTCATACAGGGAGGTTCCTTTTTTTGCTGACGCAATGAGGCCACACACTTCGTTTGTTTGGGTGGAGTCTGTTTGTTTTTGCTGCATGCACCAGATGCAAACTTGGCTGGCTCAGCTGAGGCGCACTCCAGCAACCGGGCTTTGATTTGATTTGCCGGGCTTCTCAAAGAGCGTTGCAGAAAACCTTGCCACCCGCAGAACTTTCCCCAGCCCGCTGCTGGACAAAGACCCGCTGATTAATTGGCCCTTCCCTGCACCTGCAACGTAACAGCATTGTTTGCGGTCCGGCTGATGTCACAATTAGGTGCCTTTGCAAGCGAGAGGCGTTGCAAAACCATTCAGATCCTGTTTTCACCGGGAAGTACTAAATAACAAAACCCCAGCCCCGTACGGACCACGCGTGACAGGCACCGCTGTGACACTGGCCTTCCAAGGGTGCTGCAAGGCTTCAGCTGCAGGCAGGGGCAGGAGAGGGGGGGGGATGAGAAGGTGTCACTGCTGCTTTTGGACTAACTCCCGCTGGGGCTGCCTTTCCCCATTCAGGGCTAATCCCGCTATCGCCAGCAAGGGGTTGGCGGGCTGGGCTCTCTTATCGCGGCTGTGCAGAGCCCGGCCCATGGCGGCGATAGCAGCTAGGCTCG